TCTTGGCAAATTCTTTTATAGTCATCAAGTACAGAAGATGCATCGAAAAATTGTGAAAAATACTTTAAAAAGTTTAGCTTGACATAGGATATTTCTTCATTTGGCATAAAAGTTTATATTTGCTCAGCAATCAAACTTCATCCTAATAAAATAAGCTTTTCTAAATAGCTTTTGAAAAATAGTCACATATGGATTGTATTATGTATGTAGGTGTTTCGAGGCCAGAAAACATATTTTTAGTTTTCTGTCTGCATCACACAGCAGAGTGGAATGCTGGTGGGTGACCATGGCTCCTAGGTGTGGACATCATTACAAGCCCACAACCTGACTCTACATGCAGTATATGCCGAACAAAAAAGCTCTTCAAGCATACCAGGACATCATACTTTTCAGAGCAGAACCCAAGACTTGTAAATTATTTAGATGCTTAAAGATTTTATCATGAACTCATTTATTCATTTATTCTTTTGATTTCTAATGTCCTATTTATGAGGATTTTCAAATTATTCCTAGATCAAGCAATACTTTGAAAGTAAAACTTCATTTTCAAGAAAAAAAACCCAAAACCCCCCCAAAACCAAACAAACAAAACCAAACCAACAACAACAAAAAAAAAAAAAAAAAAAAAAAACACAATACTTTGAAAGTAAACCTTCATTTTCAAGAAAAAAAACCCAAACCCCCCCCAAAACCAAACAAACAAAAACAAACCAACAACAACAACAACAACAACAAAAAAAAAACCAACAACAAAAAACCCACACCAAAAACCAGCCCCAAAATAAGCACTTTTCCCTAATTAATTTTCTCTCATTCAGCTGATGGAAATCTGTATGTTAAAAAGTTGATGTTCTGTCAACATAAATATAAAATACTGCTTTTTCAATAAGTACAGTATTTTCCAACCTCCATTATACAGACATTAATTCTAAAACTCAAGTAAGAGAAGATTAAAATTTTACTTAAAAAGAATCTTGCCAACATGAAGCATAGTTTTAAACTTGATTTTCCAGTATATTTTAAGAGAATTTAACTCAGAATAACCTCAGTTTTTTCTGGTACTACTTTATGAGGCTTGATATGAAGCACGCTACTTAAACTAGAGGGTTTTTTCATATAATCATCTGCAACAGAACAAACAGGAGAGTACCTGCAAAGAATAACAGGCCTGGTATGTCAGTATACCATCTTGAAACCAACATGCACATCTCCTTCCCTCACCTAATGCCAGCTATTAGTTTGCCTATTTAGGTTTGAAATAACAAGCAAAACCCCCATTTTCCTTGCTGGTTTCTAATGAAGGTTTTTATCCATTACTTTTGCATGTGTCTAAAATCACAGGAAACTGGATTCTTTGAGTATCAGTTCTTTTCTACAACAAAACAAGGAGTTCTTCCCATATATAGCACAGAAGCTCACACACCTCAGCAGGAATGTAATGATGGACACTTCCACACGTGGCCCACACAACACACACCACCAATATTTTGCTTTGGCCCCAAGTCATGAATCATTTCTGAGACACTGCTGATCTTATTCACCAAGTCAGGAAGACAGCAGTGTACACCACCAAAAACTCAGCAGGAGCTGAGTCAGTGCTTGCTCTAGACTCACTACAGCTCAGCTAGAAAAGTTACTGCTGTGTTGGTGAGACAAACCAAGCTCCTTTCTCTCCTTAACAGAGGAGTTCAAAATACCAAGCAAAGCAGTTCAGATGTGCCCTGTCTCTGCTGGACAGCTTGCCGTACTTCTGACCTGGAGGAACATGCCTAGAGTGAGAGATACTGGCTTTCTAGGTGTATTAGGGTCAGGTCCTCAGCTGTCATAGATCACTTACTTCTCCCTGAGTCATTAAAAATTATTCCAATTTACTCAAGAAGACGCTCTGGCCCCTGTGAGTTTTGGCTTCTCTGCAAAGGCTTTTAATAAGGTGCCAACTGTCCTGGCACTGAGGATTCTTTGAGTAGCACTCCAAGTTAGCAGTAGCACGCAGGAGCTCAGCCCAATAACATTTTTCTCTGCAAGAATTAAGTACAGCACTTTTTTTAAACTTACACAATTCTTACTGTTCCATTAAAACAAAGAACAACTCACACAGTGAATACCAGCAAGAAATGAGAGAGGAAATAGAATCAACAACAAAAAAAACCCCAAGCAAAACAAGAGCAAGCAGGTAGTTGTAGTTGTCAGGTTCACAGTACACACCACTACCATGCAATGACATTAAAGCTCTTCATCTCAAACCTATACCTATACCACAAAACCATGCACATTTCCATAGGCCTCTTTAATACTAAATAATTAAACAACATTTCCCCATGCATATTCCAGCTCCAGTTAGAAGCCCTGATAAGAATAGACAGAATTTCAAGCCTGGGTATGGTAGGAGGAAGAAGTATTTCCCTTTCAGCACTGGGTGCTTTTTTAAACCAGTCCTTGGTTGGGATCTAACCAGCACAGCTGAAGCTTTGGAGCAAACCCATGGAATGTTTTGTTAAGGATTCCAGCAGAAATAAAGAAATCTTCCAAGCTGGAAATTATTCTGGATACCTGAAAGAATGATGAGGGGAAAACACATCTTTCCCCCTGCCTCCCTCAATCTCAAACAAATAAAAAGAGACTTAACATTTTTTATGTCCTTTTAAAAATATTTTTTAAAAATCTTTACCTTCATTAAGTCCAGATGCAGCTGCAATTATTTATCTTGTTGGTACCCAAATTTATTTTTTGTATTTTTGTGAATGAGCAAGTAAATACTCACAGAAATAATTCTATTTTCCAACTGTCAAAAGAAATCTGAACACTTGTGTTGCTTGACCCAAGGTGCATACTTGAACACTGTGGATTAAGCTAAGAGAAAGAGACCAGATGGGAAGATATGGTATAGGATATTCAGCTCAAGAAAAGGATCTTGATGAGGGAACACAACTTCTACACCAGGACCTGCTTCCTAAAGTGTTTCCTAGTTTGGTTTAAGTCAGAGTGAGAGCTACTCCAGATCACAGCTCTGGCTAGATCCCTGAATGCCGTAAGGCATTAAGTGGACATACCTCCTCTGCCCAGAAATATCATCTAGGAACGGCAATGCCAGAGCGGCATGTAAATGACAAACCAGAAAAACACAGCAGAGAGGCAGCTTGCCTGCAGCAGTGCCTGGAAGTGCCTGCAGTGGCAGCGCCATCGCGGGCACCAAGAGCAGCTCAGCGCGAAGTGCAGAGCAGCGCCCCAGCCTCGCTGGGGCTGGTAATCAGTGAGAGACAGAGAGCAGAGACCGAATAGACCCTTTCAATTCAATACAACTGCTACACAGAAGGAAATGGAAAAGAGCACAAAGTCTGTCAACATACTGAGAGGTGGGAATTGCGACCTTTTCTTTGAAATCACGGAGGAAGGACACCAATTACTTAAAAACAAATAAAATAAAATAAAAACAATAGCACTTTTATGAGTAAAAAACCCTAACCAAACAAAATAATACAAATTCCCTAGGCCTCTCCTTCTATCCATATAGATGTCACTTGCTGTAATTCCTTGCCAGTAATCCTTCCCCCATTAATTGTCTTTGAATTTCAGTGGCTCCTGCACAGCAACTCATTTTCTCTCTCATGCTGCCACCTACCACTGCGCTATGGTGACTTGCCCTGTGACTGAAGTCATTGTTTTAACAAGTTGCCGCTAAATGCGTGTGAATTATTGTGATTGGCCTAATTCACTACCTTGCTAAGCACTCAGGCTCTAAGAGAAGCCGAGTATGGGTCTCAGCAAAGAGCAAGCTACCGCTGTACTGTGGAAGTCAGAAACTTGGCATCTCGCTTAGCTCTGGCATCCCTAATGTAGCAAATCGTTTCATTTAATTCGTCTTCCCCACCTGCAAGTAAAACTACCTCTTAGGTGAGATCCGGGCCTGTCTGAGGTCCCAGGTGGGTGCTGACTGGTGACCGAGGAGGACTGGTTTGATTCACGGGCAGTAACTCGTGCCCCACAGCCAGCAGAGCACGGACCTGCCGGCACCACCTGCAGCGCCCGTGTCCGGGGCAGAGCTTTCCTCCGCGCTGCCTTCTGCTGCGTGATGCCCGCACCTGGAAGGGGCAGCTGACAATTAAGCTCCGTTTAATTAGCAAGCCCAGAGTCAGCCCGTGGTTCAGAGGCTGCTCCTGCCCGCAGCGCCTGTGGGAAGCCCCGCAAGAGACGAGCGCGGGCACTGGAGCGCCTGGAGGACGGGCTCCGGCCGCACTGAGGGAGTGACTGAGGGAGTGCGGGCTCCGCCGGCCTCCAGGGCTCTGCCCCTCGATGCCCCCAGCCCGACGCTGTTCGCAGATTCGGGGTACACCTTCGGGCAGCTGCAGCACAGAGATGTTCCCGGCTACTGCCGGGCCGGGCTGGCTCCGCAAGACACTGGGCCCCCGCTGGTTTCTGCCTATTTTCGGGCGACCCCTGGGACCCCGCGGGGGCTGGCTCGGCGCGGCCGCCCCGCCGGCTCCGCGCTCAGCCTCGGAGGGACGCGCCGCTCCTTCGCCCTCCTCGCCCCTTGAGCTTGAGGAGCCCCCCGCCCCGGGAGACACAGTGATGGGACACCCGAGGTGTCCCACCTCTTGCGGGACACACACACACACACACAAAAAAAAAAAAAAAAAAAAAAAAAAAAAAAAAAAGAAACTCCCCCTTCCCCGCAAAAAAACAAACCATCAGTGATACAGAGCCATGAGCGAGGGATTGCGGATCGGGAGCCATGGTTTCACACCCCTTGCACACGGACATTGCCACAGAGGCTTTTTTCTCCAAAGCTGCGAAATTCCCGGCATACTGCAGAACCTCAGAAGGCCAATTTGCAAGAGGGAGGGCCGCGAAGGTGGCTGCCTCCCTCGGGGCCAAGGCAGGCGGTCAGGGGCTCCCGGCTCATGGGCAGGGAAGCGCCCAGCGTGCACGGAAGGGCGGCGGAGGCGGTGGAGGCGGTGGGAGGGGGGTAGGATTTAATTCTTCTTAACTGCCGCCGCTTAATGGGGATGGAAAATGTGAATTTTCTGTGCATTCCAGGAACAATTCCTTGGGGTGGTGACCTTTAGCACCGATTCTCTGAAGACAGGAAAGTAGTCGAGTGTTTATCTGGATGACTGAAAGCCTTCCCTGGTGGAAGTTTATGGAAGTGTTAAAAGGGGCGGATAACACGGGCTTTGGAGGCGCTTGTCCAATGATCTGGAGGGGCTTGGAGAGCAGATCTCAGCTGGCAGACATTTAAATGGGAGACAGCTCGGCGCTGCTGCAATTTGTAGGCAGGACCCGACATTCTCTCTCTCTATGGACTCCCGGGCAGCTTCGGGCTCCCACGCCACCCGCTCCACCGAGTGACCCACCGCTCAGAGCCCCGCAGAGCCCCAGGCCGCGCCGAGGAGCACCGAGCCGAGCCCCGCCGCGGAGCCGCCGCCGCGCAGGTGAGCTGGGACGCGCCCTCGGCCACTGTCTGTGGGAGGCAAAACTTTAAGCTCTCTGTCCTACCTTCTGAGAGGGGCAAGGGAAGGAGCCGTTCACCGGTGTCTAGCAAAACTCCAGGGCGTCTCGGTTTTGCAGGGGGTGACGCCCGTCCCTCCCGCCCGCGGGAGTGAGGCGCGCCGACCTTTCCGCCGCAGCGCAGGGGATCAGGGCACCGTTACATCTCTTTCCCCTCACAAGCACGGGGACTGCAGAAGCCCCGTTAGCTCTGCCTCTCATCTCCGCCTACAGCATCACTCCCGACAAATTGGATTCGGCGCCCACCCGAGACACGGAAACGTCCCGGCCCGGCCTCTGCACGGAGCGGGGCGGGGGCAGATCCCCAGGTGCCAGCCCCATCCCATCTCGTCCCGCCGAGCTGCCCTCTATGAGGCCGCTCAGCCCGCGGCTCTGTCCTGGCCCGCCTTTGCAAACCTCTGCTCCTCAGAGGAGCGTGCTCCTGGTACCCCAGGAGCTCCCGGGCCGGGGTGCGAGCCGTCCGGGAGACTCGGTGCGTGCCCGCGGCGCCGGGTGCCGCGGAGCGGAGGCTCCGCGCCGGCAGCGCGCCCGGGGCAGCACGGCGCGTCCTTCCCCGCGCAGCCTCGGGCGGGGCGGGACCGCGGCGCGCGGAACGCGGCTCCAGCGCTGCGCTCTCCGCCCAGCCCGCCCACCTGACTCGGAGCCGCGGGAGTTTTGTCGGGCCGACGGCTCCGTGCTTCCGCCGGTCAGCGCTCCCCCTGCCCGCGCTGCCAGGCCGCGCTGCCCGGCCGCAGGAGCGCCGGCCGTGCGGCCCATGCGGCCCCGCGGGCGCGGACGGGCCGCGCTGCGCTCCTCCAGCGGCGCGGCTTGGCGCGCGCCGGCCATGCGGCCCCGCGGGCGCGGACGGGCCGCGCTGCGCTCCTCCAGCGGCGCGGCTTGGCGCAGGGCTTTTCCCTGCCGCAGGACGCCTGCTTGCTTGCCCCGTCTGTTTCAATACGATCCCCCGGGGGCTTGGCAGTCCCTTCTGCGAGTTCGTCCTCGTTGGGTTAAACGAGGTTCTGCGGCCGTGCCCCGTGGGAAGAGCCGGTCGGTGCAGCCAGCCGCCGCCAGGACCGTCCCCGCCCTCGGGGAGCCGCGCCGAGTCGCTCCCGGCCGTGCCAAGCCAAACCAGGCGTGCGGTCTCCCCGCCCTGACGGCAGCCGGCCGTCCCCGGCGCAGCCGGGCTGTCCCGGGTTACCGCGGCACGGCGCGTCCCGCCCCGGCCAGCAGCTGCGGCCTCACTCCTGGGATCCCACTCGCGGCTCCTCTCGGCGAAAGAAGGGCAAGCGAAGCCGCTTTGTGTCACCAGGGCTGAGACACAAACCTCCTTTTGCATAGATGGGGCTCTGAGGCACCGGCGCGCGTTTGGCTCTCCCTGCTGCCGGCAGGAGTTTAGTCGGGCGTTTTGTGAGCGGCGACTTTTGGGTGCAGTGGCAGTGCCCCCCCAGCCTCAGCTGCCTGTGAGCCTAGCCCGGTGACCCGTGAGCTGCAGAAGCGCTTTGCTCCTGCCCCGCTCCTGTCTGAGCCCGGCAAGCCCGGGAAGAACCAGGCGGCGTGCGCTGGGTCCGTGTGTAAGTGACAAAAGGCACCGATGGCCGTGGCTCTCTGCTCCTTCAGCGTTCAGTGCCAACCTGTGCTAAAGCATTTATATTTTTTCTCTCGGCAGTGCTACCCAGAAATGCGTAGCTTCTGCTGAAGACTCTCTTCAGCAAGCACGGCAGGGCAGAGACAGGCGCAAAGCTATCCCGGTTGTTTTCGGGCTCCATGAGGAAATGTGTCTGGGGGGAGTTTGGCGCTAGGAAGCTGCAGCTGTCAGGCTGCCTGGGCGTCTTCAGGCAAGGCAAACTCGGCTTTGGTACCAGCCATGGCCACCATGCTGTTCAGCTTCCCGGGGGTCCCATAGGATGTCCTGCAGAAAAAGAGTTTCTTAAACGGGGAGTTCTCAAGGCTTCAAGGGTTGGTTTGTTTGTTTGTTTGAAAATTGCTGCCTACACTCCTGATATGTCTCAAAACCCTCCATCTGTATGACTCTCAAGAAGAAATTTTCTGAAATGTAAATATATCCAAATTCTATGAAACACAGATGTTAGTTTTGCTCTCTTGATTTCAGAAAAAAAAAAAAAAAAAAGCAGTTTTCTGGGAACTGCCATTACTATGCTTTTTTAATATTTAAAAATACAGATCTATGAACTATGAAAACATTACATAACAGTGTTTCTGCAATTCAGATGTAATATGTGAGGCATAAAATTATTCTGATCCTTTGGGACGTAAACCACTTCTATTTTCACAGTAGTCAAAGGGATTGTGTTTTGTGTCTTTCTTTGGCTTGTATTTGAAGTCCACCAAATAATTGTTGGTTGGTTTTTTTTTTTTAGTTCTTCATCAGATAGTTTTCATGTTTCTTGTGAAGCACAGGAGTCCGTGGCTCTTCATAATATTTTCCTAGTAAAAGGGGTTTACAGATGAAGTTACAGGCCTGTTAAGATCTGTGACAATTCTGCTGTATATTTCCATCCAGATTTTTTAAACAAGTTGTGTTCAGCTAAAAATGTCAGTAGTAACTTTCTAACTCTGCCTAGGAACTCATAGGCAAATTCTGTCTATGAACTGACATGTGGAGACCCTTAATTCATAGCAGAAAATGTATTAATGAAAAAAATTACAACCTAATTGTATGAAATAGTAAGCCTGAAAGCATTTACATTTCTCTCTCAATAGTTGCTAGTATTAATCCACACATTTCTTAATCTGTTTTAGATGATGAGATCTCAGGCTCTAGATAAACCACATATGAAGTGATATGAATGTTAGGGCCCAATTCTGCTCCTGTTTGAAGTCAGCAATAAAACTTCTTTTGGCTTTAGGACTAAGAGCTTACAGATGATGAAAAGTGGAACTCAGCAGTGAAATATGGAAAGAATAGAGTTTTGGAGTATTGTGTTGCTTTTAAAAAATAAATATTACTTCTGCCATATCTCTCTGGATCTGAATGAAATGAGGGCATTGATCATTTTGGTTTTGGTCATCTGTTTGTTCAAAGGATTCTCAAATGAATTCTCCAAAGGATTTCTGGTTATGCCAGTGTAACAGTCAGTTAGTGTCAAGTAATGAAAATTTTGCAGAAACATGGAATATAAGCTTTTACAGCCTGATCTCACAGCTGCAGAGATATAACTTCTGCAGAATTATGACTGTGATGAGGAGAAAAAGCATTTATTTCAGGACATATTTCTCTTCAGTAAAACTTTGGATATGGTAATGCTGATTGTAGTTACTTCTACTGTCCTCTTCTGTGTTTTACTTCTTTCAGTAATAAAAAACCTTCTTAAAGAAACATTCACAATTGCTAACTCATAGATAGATGAACCACTTCACTTCCTAATGTAAGCAAAGGTGTCATCTTCTCTCATAAGCAAAAGCACTGATTGCCCTGGGACCAGAGGTGCTGCAGGATGCCCATACTGCATTTTGGCTGCTTTCCTTCCTGAGGCATATCACCTCATTTTCCTTTGTATTTTTAATTTTAAAAATTAAAATCTTCATTTTAAAATAAATTTTTAATCAGTTATTAAAAAAGGTCCTGCTTAGCTGCTGTGGGGATCTTGAAGTTCACAATATCCCCTTCTGAATTTAACCTGTATTTATTTGTAAATTTCTGGATTACTTTTAGATGTGTGTTTTGGAAGTGACCATAACAAATGTTTCTGCTGAGTAGCTAATTTTCATTTGAGTTACAATTTCTTTTATGAGCATGTAATGCAGCTTCCACCTTTAAGGCTGGAAACCAACCCAGTGAAAAATTACCTTCTTCCCAGTTCAGGATTACACTGAAACACATGCTTGCATTTCCTTAGGGATAAGCATGTGCTTCATAAAGTTGCATGAATCTGGGCCACAGACCTTCCAATAGCATATATCACTATGAAATTTCCCCCAGATTCCCATCCCAGAGTACACCTCATTTTCGTAGGACTAGACCTTACTGTGTCATTGACTGCACGTCTATGGAGGAAAAAAAAAAGAAAACAATGTGTAGCTAATCAGTTTAAAAAATAAAAGTAGTCCAGGTTTTGGAACCTCATCCAAGTTGTGGGACACTAAATAAAATAAACACCTGAAGTTTTCTGGCACTGCTTACAACCTAGCAATTTATTTTCAACTTCATGCAATCACTTTTTTTTTTTTCTTTTAAGACTCTGGCACCATGTTGAGTAAATAAAGTGCATATTAAAATAGGGTGACTAGACACTCACCAGAGAAATAAGAATAGTTTGGGAAGAAATCATTCTGATCTCTTGAAGGAATAAGCAATAGTTAATAATTCTGTGAAAACTTATTTTAAAGAAAAAATTAAAACATGTTTAAATAATATTCAGGTTGTAATAGAGATTAGGAAAAAACAGCAAATGTGAAGTGCAGGCTGACACTTGAAATTATGCTGCATTATTCCTTAATTGGAATTCCCAACTTATTTTTGTCTATATCAAAGCCTTAAGGTTATTAAAATTGTGTGTTCCATACCATGTTTAATTTAGATACTAACAGCAGCCCTTCCAAATTGTCTGTTGGAGTCACCAGTTGTATAATTCTTACACCCCTTCCTTGACTGCCAAACACAGGACATGCTGGTACATAGATTACTGAAAAGAATGTATACATCTATGATATATCAGGAACTCTAGGTGCTCTAAAAAACTGCTGACAAACACTAAAAAATATTAGATCCACAAGCAACTCCTTGAATGTGGTAGAACACCCTATGACATTTTTCTACTTCAGGAATTCCTCTCCCAGTCCATTTGGTGAGAAATGCTGTTTGAACAGTGTAACATTTATTTTCTCCGTGTGACTGGAAAGACCTAATAACTGAGAAATTAGCAGTTATTTTTTACAGCAAATAGTACTTACCCTGAGCCTCTGCTGAGTCTCTAGGTGGCCCTCACAGCACTGGCATTTGGCTGCTTTCCTGCCTAGCTGTGTGGTCTCAGGCAGAGCGGATGAAGCCGTCCAGGACAGTGCCCGTGGTTTCTCGGGTAGTCACACAAGAAGGACTCCTCAATTCAAATGCTATTTTTTTCCATACTGATAAGTCAAACAAGGGATACAACTGCAGCACTCCAAGCAGGTAGAAAACAATTACTTCCTTAACATTTTCTTTTCACAGTCCTTTTCCTTTCCAATGCCTGTGTCTCTTCACAATTTTAGTGTTTTACAGTGGTTTCTTGCAATTATTTGCTCATTTCTGGTGCCTTCTTCCATGCTGCCATGGGGAGGGTCCCTCAGAGACTTATTCCCTCATCTGTATGTCTTGCTACCACATAGCTCCTTTCAGAAAAACTTGGAAACCATGGTGCTTCTGGAAGGGGGAAGTGTGACACTGATGAGTTTCTTCTGTGCTGGTTGGTGTTTTAAGCTGACTGAACAGCCTCAAGAACTCAGATTTGGGAAGCAGCAGAAATGGTGGAAAATAAGGGAAGAAAGTGTAAGTAGGAAAATTATATTCCTACACAATAATTAGGTTTGGAGCAGCCATGCAGTTTTGAAGGACCTGATCTCCACTTAACTGCAGTGAAGTGGTCTTTGTATGACATCAAAGAGTCATACAAACTCTATGATATTTCATGTAATTTACAAAATTCTGCTGTCCTCTGACAACACCATTCTATGTAAAATGAATAAAATTTAGGGATCTGAAAAATTCTTAGCACTGTGATTGCATCTCTATTACTTCAATCAACAATTCAGAGCAATGTGCGAGAGGACATAGTTTGAAATGATAAGACACATCTCTTAACCTGTACCTAAATATTCTTTAATGCTAGTTGCCTGACTTGTTGCACATCTCTCAGCTTAAGCATCATTACACTCAGATACATGGGACCCCTTTAGAGGTGCAATGTGGCACAGGTTGGGAAGCTGTAAAACATGCTGCAGGTGTATACAACATATACATTATATACTGGATATACATTATTCAAGGAGCTGTATAAAGTTTCTGAGTCTGATTAGGAAACAAAAATCTAGACTATATCTGCTGAGACAAAGACTTTAGCCCTCTGGTATTGTAGATGGCTGTGTCATGTAAGTGAATCTTTGTGTAGTATAAAATTCATTACTTCCACCATTGGAAGTCAGGAGCAATCTTCCTATATGTCAGTGAGCTATAAGAAGGGAATGAGAACTAGGGTAATGCACTTGGGAAAAAGAGCTAGAAAAAGATGAAGGACACAAAAACAAAATTTTGTTTGGGCTTACTTTCAATCACTCTATTTGAAAGCTTTTATCACTTGGTAGTTTGGGAACAGCTTTCCAGCTGGTACAGGCTTGAATGCTTATGTTTTATATAAGTGTGTGTGCACACATTTTTTAATGGAGCTGAGAATTTAGTGCATACCTGGCTTCTGTTGATCCTGAAATCCACAACTGTGCTTTATTTCCTCAACTTCCTTCACACAGGATGGTCCGCACACTGTATGCCATCGTTGCCTTGTTTCTTCTGATGGGATTTCTGCTGCCAGCAGCCGAAGGGAGAAAGAGGAATCGTGGATCTCAAGGTGCTATCCCTCCTCCCGTCAAGGATCAGCCCAATGATTCGGAGCAAATGCAGACACAGCAGCAGTCAGGCTCCAGGCATCGAGAGCGGGGAAAAGGCACCTCGATGCCTGCTGAAGAGGTGCTGGAGTCCAGCCAGGAGGCATTGCACATCACTGAGCGCAAGTACCTGAAGCGGGATTGGTGTAAAACCCAGCCCCTCAAACAAACTATCCACGAAGAAGGCTGCAACAGTCGTACCATTATCAACAGGTTCTGCTATGGCCAGTGCAATTCCTTCTATATCCCCAGGCATGTCCGTAAAGAAGAAGGCTCCTTCCAGTCTTGTTCCTTCTGCAAGCCCAAGAAATTCACCACTATGACTGTAACACTCAATTGCCCCGAGCTTCAGCCCCCAAGAAAGAAAAAAAGAATCACCCGAGTTAAGGAGTGCCGGTGTATATCTATTGACTTGGACTAAACTGAGAAAAGCAGCAATTGCACTCTGACTGTATGCAATCACTGCCAGTGTGAGAGTGAGTGGCATGAACTAGCCTACCTTCAAGGCTGGGAAAACTGAAAGGGACCTAGTGAATTACCTAAAACAAGCAAAACCCCCCAAAAAGAAAGAAAAAATTCATATAAGGAAAGGACATGCATGTGTGTGTGTGTAAGGGAGAAAATGGATATGGATGAGCAAATGCGTGAATGTTCACTACAAAAAAACCCCCAAAAAATAGTGGGGTATGAGACATTAAAAAACCCTTAATTACCCATATTCATGAATTAGGTTTCCTAATTCATGTGTATATTCACAATTTTGCCGCTTGCTGGGAAAGTGGAGCTGTGGCTTTTGCGAGTGTTCACCTTTGTGCTATTTGCTTTTACTGTATTACGTGAAACATCAAAGCGAGAGGACAATACATTTCAAAGCATGAATCTATTCTTAAATAAGAAATAGACAAGGAGCAATTTAAAGTGTAGCACAGCCATCACTGAAAATAGAAGCTGTGTTGAGAGTTTGTAACATGCTTCTTCAAAAACATAGCTGTAATCCAAAAGCCGTGTCTGGAGAACAATGGGGGGATGTGGGAGTGCTGAAAAGTCAATATAGGTGGATAGGAAACAGATCTACAGCAACTTAGAAAGCAAAAGGTCAAAGCAAGTAGACAGGGAGAGTACAAAGGGGAGTAGAAAAAGGAAAGGTACATATACAGAGGAAGAGATATTGTCTTCTGTTTACGTTTTGCTTTAATTTATATACCTAGTCATATATTACATAAATTAAAAAGAAACTATATACAAGGCTATAAATATACTTCTGAATTCTGATGGCTCTCTAAACCAAACAGAACCCATCCTTATGCCACTAGATCAATTTGATGTCTTCTATTTTTCATATCAGTTATTCTTCATATCTACATATATATGTATATGCAGTATCTTTTAGGCAGTGGTATCTATACATACATGCAATGAGTGTGCCTACTTCATTGTGTGTATCCAAACTCCTCTTTTTCACACACATACATAACCACAGCACAAAAATCTTGCTAACCAAGATCAAGTACAGAATGGCAGTAATTTAGTACATAAAGAGCAGAGCAAAAATTAAAACAAGCATCATGTGACTGAAAATGCAATAACCACACAAGAGACAAAAGACACGACATTCATGACTAGTAAACATTGCATTGTTATTGTTATTTTAGCTTTGCCACAGGCATGCAGTTTGTTGAAACAGAGATGCAGAACTTTGCCAGCAATGATCCTCTTTTTATATCTTTTACCACAGACTTGCATTTAAACTGGATTTGGAGTAAGTAAAGAGAATTTCCTGAACACTTAAGGCTGACTGCCCCTCTGATTTTGGGGGGAAAAACACAAAAGGGGGCACCCTACTTCCAGCAGCTCGATGACTCTCACCTGTGAGGTTATCTTGTCTTTTCTTTCCTTCAGGCTTAGGAGTTTAAAATTGATCAGGGCTGTAAAGTTTGGCAAGAGCACAGAAGGTCCGGTCCTACAAAAAAGTTAGTTTAATGAGGTGTGTCCTGGGGATTGGACCAGACAGGCATTTATGGGGATTGGACCATCCATGCATGTTGTCCTTGCTATCCTGAGCACTCAAAGGTCCACACTTATTGTGTGATGGTTCTTGGAGGGTCCAGGACTCAGTTTCCCTGCTCAGCAGCAATATTCTGTAGGATCCACCATCAGTATAACTGTGCTTTCTCCCACCAGAGGCCTCTCTCAGCCACAAGGTGATTATTTTGACATAATTTCTTGCCATAGAACGTTAAGGAGGACAGTTCTACCCTTAGTAACATGCCCAAAGGGAAAGATACATGATGAGGGGCATGTCACGGGTGCATCCTATGTGGCCTCATTTTATCAGTTGTCCCACCTGTTATATAATGCATCATACATCTATTGGTGATATCCTGCATCTCTACAACTCATCTATTTTTGCTCTAAAATCCACTGCTGTGAGGTTTGTGTTTGTAAAATTAAATGATCACAACTCATTTACTTGTATTATTAAAATGCATTTCATTTGGTGTACTCTCACTCAGCAGTTTGACACATGTTTTCATGGATTTTAAAATCCAGTTTTAAAATCTGGAATTATAGGAGGTAGGTTTCCACTGTGTGGAATGTGAATAGTTAAACAGAAAGATAAGGATATTTAATGTTATTATTAATACAAAGTTTCTTTCAGTGACAATAGGCAGGGAATATTTTCCTTTAAATTGCTTTTTAAATTTTTTTCCCAGGGGAAAGGGTCAACCTCAGTCATTGCTGGAAATTTTGTAGTAGCTTGGGTTTTTGTTCATGAAATGGGAACACCTTATGAATTATTTTTTCCTTCACATAAAGTTGACAGCAAAATTTGCATTTTCTTTGACAGAGACTGCTGTGTCCCTAACCCCTTAGCTGTTATGCAAAGCTTCAAACATCAGTGACTCCTTTAAGTTTTGTCCAAAATTCTCAAGGAAAATTGATAAAAGTATTCCAAATCTTTATGTTCTAAAACTGCCTGTGCATAGATCATGATGGAACTCCCCTTGAGGCAGATCCCCCTCACCCATGTAAATTTTATACAAAGAACTTCTATGAATTACTAGTTATTGCCTGAGAGTAAGAAAGTTCTGCTAACTTACAATTATATGAGATATTTAATATCAACCACAATATGTATTTAAATGTCTGCTTTATTCTAAAAACAATGGACTATATAACCTAAGGCTGCAGTATTTTCATGCTCGGTCTCACAAAGCAAAACTTGGTTTAAAATGAAGTTTTAATTATTTTGTAACTGAATAGAATTGGAGTTTTTTCTTCCCAGCATTTTGTACGTCATTTTAACTACTAGTAACAAATAAATAAAATATCTTCTCCAGCCTGTGTCTATTGTTGTTTGTTTTTTGGTTTTTTGTGGTTTTTTTGGTTTGCTTTTTCCCCCCCCTTCCTCAAGTTTCCAGCTCTTTCTGGATCTGTTGTACTTTACCCTGACTTCTGTGGTTTCTTCTAATTATAAAAGGCTTTACATTATGACAATAAGACATAGAGACAAGCAATGGCACCATCATTCAACACGGCTACTTCAATAAGGCTTTTAAATGAGATCTGTCACTTCCCCCTCACCCTTCCACAATTTATAGAAGGAAAATCTCAATCTTTGCTCACACTTTTCCCCTTGTAAACCATAGAGTGACAGTTCAAAATATAAATCAGCCTTGAATTGTTGTAGAGTTAAAGTTGGAGTTGGCCTGCCTGCCTTATGCCTTATCTCAGTTCATTGTCTAGCTGGCAGTTTAGTCCCAGTTCTAGAAAAAAAGAGTAAGGAATGCCTTTACAATACAGCATATTACAAGCTGCAAATAGGAACAGAGGAGATGCAAAACAATTATAAAAAAAGAGCAGGAAGATTTGTCACTGCTGGCAGCACGTGTGCAAGACCAGGGTTGAGGAAGGACTGCAACCAGAGAGAACACATTTCTTCAAACCTTCCACCCCTTTTGGTTTAGTCTTCCTTCAGAACTAGCTTTGTCATGCTTCTAAAACTTACTGAAAGGATAATACAATTAGCTAAGAATAATTTTTTTAAGGTAATTGACTTTTTCTGTCTGAGATATGGGCACAGTTGTGCAGAATAAGTTTCCTTGAGAAGTTGTACATATGTATCTTTATTTGAATATTTAAACCAAAGAAAAACCTCCTCTTCTAGTACTCTGTGGTACCATGGTCTTACTAATTATATAGTAACCTATAATTTAATTATAGTTTATATTTGTCCTGCATACCAGCTTTGAATTGAAGATAACCTCCCATGTGCTTTAGAGTTAGTTACACTGAAAAAAAGAAGGTAAGAGAGACAGAATTCCCACACCTTACTCTGCTGTCAGGGATGCAGACAGAAATGAGAACCTGTGCCCAGTGGGGCAGGCTGGGTGTGTGTCGGGGTTTGTGCGTGTGCTCTGTCAGCCACGTGCTGTGTCACTGTGTGCTGTCACCGTGTGCTGTGTCACCTCTGTGCTCTGTCACCCGTGTGCCATGCCTGAGCTCGCACTGAGGCACCGAGGGAGCGCTGGGCTGTGTGCTCCCATCCGAGCAGCTCCCATCTGAGCAGCTCCCATCCGAGCAGCTCCCATCTGAGCAGCAGATGTGCACAGTGGGTACCACTGGGTTGGATGGACAGACAGCACCAGCCTGGGAGCACGGACCTTGCCTTTGCAAAAATCATGGGGTAACTTCACCTTGTCATTTACCTTCTTCAGAGTGAAAAAAACCCAAACGAAACAAAAAACCCACCACCAAAATAAAGTGAAAAACCCATCCCAAACAAACAAAAAAAAACAACAAAAAAAAAAAAAAAAAACCAAAAAAAAAAAAAAAAAACAAAAAAACAAACAAACAACATCACCTGAGACTGAAACCAAGCCAGCCCCCTGTGCCCTTAGGGCTGATGTTCCTTTTCCACCATAGATGTAAACTTACAGGTTTTAGTTCCAATAGGTTTCCTGAACGAGAACAACCAAGTGGAAAAAAGCTAGAAAGCTAGATCTTATTCACTCCAAACCTGCTCTAAAAAACACTTAATTAGTTACTCAAATACAACAGTAAATTTTGGCAGAAGAATGTCCAAAATTTTTTCTCAGCTGTCCTGCTTACCTGGATGGTTGCAGTGCACTAACCAAGGGGGAGAGTTGCATTGTTTAAATTTTAAGGGAGTGAAAATTTAATGTGTATTTAGCCAAAACAGTGGAACTATCACTTTTTCATATTTTTAATAACCATCAGATTTTTTTACATCACCTGAGACTGAAACCAGAAATTCCCAGCAACACACGAGTATCACAGAGTCCCAGTGCAGATTTTTGATGCTACCTTGTAATGCATCTACATAAAAACATCTGAAGCCTATGTGCACTGCCTCCTGGGAATGTAGCTGATGACTTTGAAGTGTCCTGTCTCATTGTGTGGCTTCTGGCTGCCTGAATTCTTCCTCCAGCTTTCATGGGTCTGGGTGGAGGAGTACAGAAATTTTAACTGTCACTTGCTCACTTTCCTATTATTTTCTAAAAATTTTGAAAATAAAATTTGGAATCCACT